CTCCTTCGATCTTGCAGTCTTTGCGTCTGTCTGCCTTCAAGTTCCGTTTACCTCGCGTCCCTTGAAGTCCTGACGTCTACCTTCAAGTCCTTGCATCTGTCCAGCATCAACAAGTCCTTTCGTCTGTCTCCCTGCAACTCCATGACTTTCGGTCGGGCTTGATTTGAATTATAGGTGCAGTGCAATCTTATCTTATCACCCGAGCCCTGAATTCTAACGCGGATCTCTATCTCAATTTCACTTTCCCCATGCCGAGTATAGTCCTGAGCGTGGGTAACCCCAACTTCGAAACCCTGCTCTTTTTTCTTAGCGCTGCCTTGAGCGTGCTACGCGATCTGGCGCTGTGCACACGAACGGATTATTTGGCTGTTAGCATATTTTTGGAAACGCAAGGAACTTTTATTCTGGGGTTTGGCTTTCCACGTACTGGTTTGCAAGAGAATTGGTTTATACAGTAACGCAACAATTCATATGTATAGAATAAGAGTTCGCGCTATCAGTTCAACTGAGTCTTCGCCTAACATGTTTTATTCTGCATTTACAACGGCGGACCTAGTCCAGAACTTGAACGGATGAAATATATATTATTAATATTTCTTTATTTTATTTTTGGATTTCAGCAGACCATCGTAAATCATGCAACCCAGCAGAAAGAATCGTCGCATCAAAACGACCATGCCCTGGGGGAGTCGACGGTCAGACTGCCTCACAATGCCCTACCCTCCTTACCCGCTGCAATTGTTACATAAATGGACGATTTGAGGAGGGGACCGCGCGCTTCGAGCCTTCCTGTTGGGACTTCACACAGACCTTCAACGGACCTTTGGCACTGAGAGAAATATCCCAGCTGTGATCGTAAGCAGCTGAGAAGTAGCGGAGGTAAAAAAGTCGGATTGAACAATGGCATTCCCTTGGAGAGATTCGAACCCCCACCGCCCGCTGAATTATCGCTGAATCCACCAATTCGACGCGGGTGATCTCCACGATCAACGAGGGCTTTCTACACCTGCAAGGGAACATGAATAAATGGCTATCGGTGCAAGCAAACGTTATCACAGACCAAGGAACATTCAGACATCCCATGGCGCGCCGTGATCGCAATCGACCAGCCGAAAGAGTTGCAGTTGGCACGACAGCCGAGGGAGAGAAAAAGGAACCTATGAATGAATCATGCCCTCAGAGGGAGTCGAACCCACCGCCCGCAGAAATGTAGCGATGGCAGCATGTGAGGCGGGTGATCACCATGATCAACGAGGGCTTTCTGTATCCGAAAGTGAACGTGAATAAATTCGCTACTTTGGAGTCGATATCGATCATCAAGCTTGTGTGGAGTCATTTCTAGTCAGAAATTAGATTGACGTGTAAGCAGTGACTTGAAAGAAATACGCCAGCGGGAAGGAATAAAAAGTCGACAGAAAACAAGCCATCACCCTCGGAGGGATTCGAACCCTCACTGCCCGCTGAATTACCGCTGAATTCACCAATTCGACGTGGGTGATCTCCACGATCAACGAGAGCTTTCTACACCTGCAAATGAACCTAGATAAATTACTGTCTTTTGCAGTCGAACGGTCATCTTCGGTCGGACATTCAACCAACCCGGCCAAGATCAGTGGGAAAAGTGGGAAAACAGCCGAGGGAGAGAAAAAGTGGAGACTGGATTTCCCATGCCCTCGGAGGGAGTCGAACCCCCACTACCCGCTGAATTGTAATTCCAAATTCCAAATCCACGCGGGTGATCACCGTGATCAACGAGGGCTTTTTACATTTGCGAGTGAACCTAAATAAATTACTTTATTTCAAAGTGGATATTACCCACGGACCAAGCTCGGGTCACCCATCTATTGCTAGCCGTGATTGCAATCCCGACAGCCGAAGGAAATACAGCTGTGTTCATAGCCGAGGGAGTAAAAATGAAAGAAAAAAAAACTATTATCCGCTGACTACATGCCCTGAGAGGGAGTCGAACCCCTAATCTCGCTCTGATGCATGAAAACATCCGGTGAGGGATCTCCATTGATCGACGAGGGCTTTCATGCTTTGGAACAGCACGTACCTACCTATTTACCAACCGGCCGACGCGGGGGAATATCTGACCCTCTTACGTTATGTGCGTGTCATCGGAGGCACTTCGCATGCAGAATTGTTCGTATTTCGATTCGCATTCTATGTTTTACATGCGAACGTGAGCACAGGGATGTAAACAGCAATACAACGCTTCCGTGGTTAAATATGCGATGATTCCGTCGTTTAATATGCGACCACTGGTCGAGGGCCGAACGCTAAATATGCATGCGCCGAGTCCAGGGATAGCAAAATGCGATGGGTGTGCGTTGTCGTGGCGAAGCGGCGCGTTCGGGTGCAGAGATGCTAAAAATCCAGGGTGTGCATGGACGATGTCAGCACCCGCACGCACGCACAGATGTGACAGGTTAATGCCGGCAGAGATTTGACAGGTTCATACCCGCCCGAGAGACAGGGTGCTCGGCGCGCAGCGATGATCTGCAGGGTCAGGGAAGGGATTGTCTGCGGCGCCGAAGAAAGAAATTGCCTGCGGCGCCTGAAAAAGGGATTGCCTGCGGTGCCCGAAGGCGACCCCCTGCGGGGAACGTCAGCGCTCGCCAAGGCTTTAATCCGTCAGGCACAGGGCAGGCGCTCAGTACCTGAGTACAGAGATCCGGGCCCCGGCAGGTCAGTACCCGGTACACAGATCAGACAGGTGCCTCGGAGTCCCCGCGGCGCGACTCGGTGCGCGCTCGCGCTCGCCCGCCTCCAGGCCCGACGCCCCGACCCCAAAATCCCGCTCTGTACAGAGGGGCATGCGCTCGCGCGCCTCGCGCAACACCGCGCGCTGGTTGATGCGTGAACGCCAGCCCTCGGGGCTGACGAGGACTTTGCCCACCGCGAGGCTCCTGAGGGAGGGGAGGGCCGCGAGAGCGCTGTCGAGCTCGGCCCAGGGCAGGAGGGAGAGGACGGGGCTGTCGAGATACGGGATGGCGAAATCGAGGGTGATACTAGAGAGCGCGGAGGTGTCGAGGGAGTAGGGTGCGGAGGGAGAGAGCAGGGCGAGGAGGATGGGGGCGGCGAGGGAGTGGTCGGCTTGGATGCGCAGCGTGTGCAGCTGGGTGAGGGTCGCGAGGTGCGGTTTTGCAAGAAAGGAGGCTGTAAAAATACGGGTTTAGCGTTTCTGCATGATATAACTAGGGAAATGCGCACCGGCCACGTCGAGGTCGGATAGTGTGAGGTCCAAGGCGCGGAGGGAAGTCGAGAGGGAGCGGATGGACTCGACGGCGATCATCGTCTCGGGATGGGATATTTCTAAACGAATCTCCTCGATAGGGGGTTGTGGGACGGCCGATGTTATCCACTGCAGGATGAGTGGGCTGTCGAGATCCACCCGGCGGAGCCGTGGAGGCGGTCGACGAACCGCAGACATAATGCCGAAATTAAAGTACGGCCCCTTCAGCTCCTCCGGCTGCGTCAACTTCAGCGTCTCGAGGCGAGGAAACGACGAGATGAAGCCCGCAAGGCGGTCGGGGTGCGCGGTGCAGATGTAGTGCATCTCGAGATGGGTGACCACCTGGAACGCGCTGGGCAGTGATTTGGGGACGATGCGGCAGAGGCTGAGGGTGGTGAGGTGGGGGAAGTTGACGATGAACTTCGGCAAGACGTGCGACGTCCAGAAGTCGCCGACGATCTTGTGGTCCAGTTCGATCTCGCGCACATGGGATTCGAAGCTCGCGCGCGCGGGAGGCACGAAGAGGCGCCCGAAACGATGGGCATTGCAGAGCGCGATGGAGATGCGGGAGAACATGCGGGGGCGGGCGATGGCCATCCATCGGGCGCATACGAGGCTGCAGCTCGCGAGCATGGTGGGATCGACGTAGGAAATGATGAGGTGTACCAGCTCCGGGGGCAGACGCGCTATGGGCCCCACTACCAGCGGTGGCATTGGCATTGGCAGACTCACGGCGGGCCACACTGTCGACTCGAGAGTCTGCAGCGGGTCGTATTCTGCTTCTTCAGCGGTGTTCGGGAAACAGACAAGGGCTTGGAGGAACGAGCGTAGCATGTTGTGGGCGAGAGTGAAAGTGGGGACCCGGCCACTCGGCCCGCGGTGTCTCCATGGGAACTCTGATAATAATCTCCCGCGGTGTAAATATAAATTCGACAGTTTTGCGCCACTCTATCACAAATCTATCGCCGTAGTGTTGAATGATACCTGATCAGTCCCAAGAAACACACGAAAGAAAGGAATTCAACCAGAGAACTACAAAGAATGTTCAAATGTTGGTTCAATTTCGTCTTCAATTGACTGGATTATCGACCGCGGCCATGCCGGCTGCCAGATTCAATACACCGCTCCAGAATGGAAGCATTATTGACCGCGAGTCCTGCGAGGATCATTGGTTTCTTGACAGATGAAATGCCGCCGAAAAGATGATGAAATGCAACCATAGGACAGTAAGTATAGAGTGTAACGCTTATCTATGTTCTGGGCCCAGAAGCCATCGTTGATCAAGAGATCGCCCACCTGAATAACCAAGCGTGGCATACTCAGTGGGAAGCGGGTTCGAATCACCCAACGCCGCTGCATCGCCCGGTATTGTTTTTTTAAATTTAATTCTACCTCGTGGTCAAGGCCGGGGAGCGTTGCCTCAGATTCAGAAAGGGCTCGTTGAATATCTACCATTCCGACTTCAAGTTCCTGATGTTGATCGATACCACCCGCAATATCAACTATTCCGACTTCAAGTTTGTGGATGGTGATTGATACCATTGACATTCACTGCCGAACGAACGAAGTCTACAGGTATTTGTGTTCAAGGAGGTTCTTGTTCATCACCCGAGATATCGCGCTCGTGATCAAAATGTCGAGGTCAACTTCAGGTTAGGGGGGCAGTGCGGGCTCTAAAAGCGCTTCGGATAAGTACTTGTTCCCTTTTTTTTCCCACTGTATTCCTTGCAAATGTATTCAGCTTCACTTTCAGGCATAGAAAGCCCTCGTTGCTCAGGGTGAGCACCCGTCTAACATGTCCACACCACCAATTTCAGCGGGCAGTGGGGGTTCGACTCCCCCCGAGGGCATGAGAACACTTCGCATCAATTTTTTTCCCGGTGGTCTTATTTGCCGCCTAAAATAGGGCCTAACTTCGGCATATGGCCAGCAGGCAGCGAGGGTTCGACTCCCTCCGAGGGTATGTACCTCGGTTTTTTTTTTTTTGGCACGCTGTCCTACGAATCTTGATCACGGCATACCAAGAGCCTTAGCCAAAATGTCTGCTTGCATTTCGATCAAATTTCTGACGGATGATTCCACGCAATCTTGGTCTGTGAAAGTAATCTTATTTGGGTTCGCTTTCAAGCGAATTTATTCAGCTTCCCTTTCAGGCATAGCTATAGAAAGCCCTCGATCATGGTGACCACCCATCTAAAATCAACCAGTTGCGATGGGGTTCAGCGGTGGGGGCTCGACTCCCTCCGAGGGCATGGGAAATCTAGTCTCCATTTTTTCTCTCCTCGGCTTTTTTCTCACTGATCTCGCCCGGGTTGGTTGTATGTCCCATCAAATCGACTGCAAAAAAACAGTAATTCATTCGTGTTCATTTGCAGATGTAGAACGCCCCTGTTGATCACGGATATCACCCGCTTATATGTATAACCAGATGCTGCGATTAGGTGGGTACTGGGGGGTTCGACTCCCTCTGACTCTGAGGGTATGTGGTGACATCGTTTCCTTTTTCTTTCCATCGCCCGACCTCGGCTGGCACAGAGCTCAGGTGATAAGATTGTAAGATGCTGTACGTATAATATAATTCAACCCAACCGAAAATCATAGAGTTTCAGGTAGACTTGTTGATGCTGGACGAGCCCAAGGACTTGAAGGCAGACGCATGGACTTGAAGTTAGACTGAATTTGAAGGTAGACAGGCACAAGGACTCGAAGATGGAAGGAGCCGACATAAGACCAAGGACTTGACCGCAAGCGCGAGGACAGAGAACGCGTACAGGGCATCGGAGACAGTGACGGGTGCAAGACGGAAGAGGACAAGTCGGATCCGCGAAGTTGATGACAAAGCCGCTGAGCGGAATATCGAGAGCCGGCGACCAAGATGTCGGATGGAGTGATACCAGAAGGAGCGCGTTATTGCAGGCAAAAAGGAGCTATGAGCTATGGAGCTGATGTTGGCGTCGATGGATACGGTGCAAGAAAGAAAGACGCGAGGCGAATTAGAAGCATTCCTCCCGCTGACAGCGGATGCACCTGGCGCGGAGAGCCCGTGGCGTGAAGCATCTCCGAGGACGAGTATTGCGGACCAAGGAAGGAATTGTCTGCGGCGCCCGAAGGCGACCCCCTGCGGGAATCGCCAGCGCTCGCCGCCTCCCCCATCCATCATCCCGGGATTCACCGATCACAACGAGGCGCAAGGATCGCGTTTTCAGCGTTTGCGTCCGGGCATCTTGAATGAAGGAGCTTGATGCGGATTGGGATGCGTAAGAAATGGAATGCGAATGCGATTGGAATGGCATCGAGAGGGAGCAGGGAGGGCTGATAACGGCGTTGGACTATCGCATCAGAAACAGCGAAAGAAAAGGCAGTGTCCGATAGGTATCTCACCTAGTGTAGCCGTTAATGCTATGGTGTGCAAAGACAACAGGGCTGCAGGCTGGCGGAGACGATGGACGGGGATGACGTGTGTAGTTCCATCGGCTCGCCGAGAGCTCGCAAGGAAGAGATTGTCTGCGGCGCCCGAACGCCGATCCCTTGCGGGAATTGCCAGCCCGCCGCCCTTGGGGGATCGCCTGCCTCCCACCCACCATCCCTGTCGAGGGAGAAGGGGGCGGAGGAGGAGAGAAGGGCGAGGAGGATTGGAGCGGCGAGGGAGCGGTCGAATTGGATGCGGAGGGTGGCGAGATGCGGTTTTGCGAGGAAAGAGGCTGTGAAGATATGAGTTTAGCGTTTCTGTATGATATGAGTAGGGAAATGCGCACCGGTCACGCCGAGATCGGCTAGTGTGAGATCCAAGGCGCAGAGAGAAGTCGAGAGGGAGCGGATGGACTCGACAGCGATCATCGTCTCGGGATGGGATATTTCTAAACGAATCTCCTCGATGGGCGGTTGTGGGACGGCCGATGTTATTCACTGCAGGATGAGCGGGCTGTCGAGACGTGGCGGGGGTCGACGAACTGCAGACAGAATGCCGAAATTGAAGTATGGCCCCTTCAGCTCCTCCGGCTGCGTCAACTTCAGCGTTTCGAGGCGCGGAAACGACGAGATGAAGCCTGCCAGGCGGACTACCAGCGGCGGCATTGGCAGGCTCACGGCGGGCCACACCGTCAACTCGAGGGTCTGCAACAGGTCATATTCCGCTTCTTCAGCGGTGTTCGGGGAACAGACAAGGGTTTGGAGAAACGAGCGCAGCATGTTGTGGGCGAGAGTGAAAGCGGAGACCAGGCCACTCGGGCCGCGTTCAGAGATAAGTCCCCATGGGAACTCTGATAATAATCTTATCAGTAAATGCCGCTCTATCACAAATCTATCACCGTAGCTCTGAATGATACGTGATAAGTCCCAAGAAGTATGCAAAGGAAGGGAATTCAACCAAATAATTGCAAAGAATGTTCAAATATCGGGTGCCAGATTCAACACACCAATCCAGAATGGAAGCATGTTTGACCGCGAATCCGGTGAGGATCTTGGTTCTTGACAGATGAAATGTAACCATAGGACAGTAAGTATAGAGTGCAACGCTTATCTCTGTTCACTGTCGGGTGTAGAAAGCCATCGTTGATCAAGAGATCCCCCACCTGGAATAGCCAAAGCGTGGTGCATTCAGTGGGAAGCGGGTTCGAATCCCCCGACGGCGCTGTATCTGGTGGCATCGATTTTTTGAAAAATCTACCTCTCGTGGTCAAGGCTATGGAGCATATACTCGAACAAGTGTAGTTGAATATCAACCGGGTGACTTCAAGCTCGTGATGGTGATTGACATGATTGACATTCAAACGAACCAAGTTTACAGGTATTCATGTTCAAGGAGGTTCTTGTTCATCGCCCGAGATGTCGCGCTCATGATCAACATGTACATGTCAGATTCAGCTTCGGTGGGCAGTGAAGGATGCCGGGTACCCATTTGCCTTTTTGCTTTCTACCCGCTGTATTCCTTGCAAACATATTCAGCTTCACTTTCAGGCATCGAAAGCCCTCGTCGATCATGGTGATCACCCGCCTACAATAAATCATCCATCTACGTCAACGGGCAGTTAGGGTTCGACTCCCTCCGAGGGCATCTAATGCTTCGCATCTTTTTTTCCCTGATCTTCCTTGCCGCCTCAGACGAACAAACTTATTCTGCTTCACTTTCAAGCATAGCAAGCCCTCGTCGATCATGGTGATCATCCGCCTCATATGATATGATGTATTCTTCACCGAGTTTCAGCGGGCCGTGTGGGTTCGACTCCCTCCGAGGGTGATAACAAAATTGGCATCTACTTTTTTTCCCGGTTATCTTCCGTGCCCTCAATGGAACCCATTTTATTCAGCTTTACTTTCAGTATATAAAGCCCCGCTGATCACGGTGATCACCCGCCTAAATAGGGCCTTGATTCGGCGGGTATTGAGGGTTCGACTCCTTCTGAGGGCATAGGGAACTCCTCGTCTATTTTTTCTCCCGATTATCGCCTGAAACGAACCGGGTTGATTCAGTTTCTAAAGCGCTCGCTGATCATGGTGATCACCGGACTAATATACGCCAGTTGCCATACGGTTCAGCAGGGAGTGATGGTTCGAAGGCATGGAAAGGTCTAGTGAAAATCTCCCCCGACTTTCATCCTCGCTCGTTCTAATGACCAAATTGATTCAGCTTCATTTTCAAGCATAGAAAGCCCTCGTTGATCATGGTGATCATCCGCCTGATATGGCATAGGTATGGCACGAGTGTAACCGAGTTTCAGCGGGCAGTGAGGGTTCGACTCCCTCCGAAGGCATGGCCATAGACAGAATTCTTTTTTTCTGGGCCCGCTGTCCTACCAATATCGATGACGGCTGGGGTATTTGTCCCAAAATTTCTGCGTGTGATCCAATTCCTGACGAGGATGACTCCGCCCAAGCTTGGTCTGTGCTTGATGACTCACTGATATCGACTACATAGAAACCAACTTATTTGGGTTCACTTCTAGGCATAGAAAGCTCTCGTTGATGACGGTGATCACCCGCTGCAAATGATCAATTCCTGTAATAGTTCAGCGGTTAGTAAGGGTTCGACTCCCTCCGAGGGCATGGAAATTTTTCTGTCAAGGATTTTCTTTTTTACTCCTCCGGTTGTCTTCCTCACCGCTTCAAACGAACCAAATTTATTCAGCTTCACTTTCAAGCATAGGAAGCCCTCGTCGATCATGGTGATCACCTGCCTGAAATATAGCAACTCGTAGGGTACAGCGGACAATGAGGGTTCGACTCCCTCCGAGGGCATACACAGGCTCTAATGGCTTTTTTTTCACCTCCGCTATCTCTCAGTCGACTGTGTCACTGTGATCGCTTCCAGGCCGTTGTATTTTCCTCGGATGCTAAACCTTTCGTTGAAGGTTTGTGTAAATTCGAACGGGGTGGTTCGAAACAGGATTTGCGAGCCGCGTCCCCCTAAAGAAGGGAACTTATCCATGTTCACTTTCAGGTGTAGACCGCCCTTGTCGATCGTGCTGATCACCCGCCTAAAATGTCCAGTTTTCATTACAATTTCAGCGGGCACTGAGGGTTCGACTCCCTCCGAGGGCATGCGTAGTCGGACTTCTTTTTTGCACACTGTCTTACCAATCTCGATCACGGCTGCTGTATTCCTCCCTGCAAAATGTCTGCGTGCATGTTAATCCACTTTCTGACGAGGATGACCGCGCAAGGTTGGTCTGTGAAAGTAATTTATTTGGATTCACTTTCAAGCGAATTTATCCATCTTCACTTTCAAGCATGGCAAGCCCTCGTTGATCACGGTGATCATCCGCCTCAGATACCGTACCTGGATGCTGATTGATATTATGCGGCGAGTGGGGGGGTCCGAGGGTATGGGAAATTGTTGTCGGATATTGACTTTTTTTTCTCCGTTTGTCTTCCTTACTGTACTACTTCTAACGACCTAAATTTATTCAGCTTCACTTTCAGGTGCAGAAAGCCTTTGTTAATCATGGTGGATCACCCGTCTAAAATAAACCAGTTCCCATCCGGTTCTGCGGGCAGTGGGGTTGTGATCAAGGCCCTTGAAATGTCTCGGACGCTAAAGGTCGCGTTAAATATCCGTGTATTGATATCTACTTCCAGAAAGCCTTCGCTGATCAGTGCAGATCACCCGCCGAAGTGTAATACCTTCGATTGTGCGGCTAGTGGGGGTTCGACGCCCTTCGAGGGCATTTGCCTCGTCAGAATATACTTTTTTTTGCCCACTATATTACCAATCTCGATCACGGCTGGGTATTTCTCGCAGATGGCAAAGCTCGAGTTGAATGTCAGGTGAATTTCGATCGGGGTAACTCCAACCATCGGTAAGAATAGTGTTTCTAGTCACGATCAAGAAAAATAATGGAATATAGTGCCCTTGCTAGTTGAACCTGCTGATGCCCGCACGATAACCTAGGAAACCCAATATAAAATGCGGGGCGAAGCCCAAACGTCTTGGCCGCTATTCGGTGCTTCCGCTTTCGTCGCCAGGGATTAAGTATTGCAGGGCTGAATGCCGCTTTCCGTTAGCTCGTGTGCCGACGTTAAACTGGTACACATACGATCCATTTCTCCAGAGCGACGCTTCGCAATGAAACTTTCTGCACGGCTCCAATAATCCTTCCCCGCGTATACGCCCATTTGCCAGTCCCAGACGTGATACGTGCAGGACATCACGACAAACCGGGGATCCTTCGAAAGATCTGCGACATCGAGGGGGCCTGGCTCATACTGAAGGTAGACAAGAACCGCAAGGAACTTGCATGCCTCTAACAGCTCGAGACACATGGGGATGTAGGCCTCGTCATCGCTGAACGAGAGATGGGTGAGCTGGGGGATGAGAGACAGCGGCCGAATCCAATTCTCCAGGTCGTCCGGGGGATCCAGGACCTCGAGATGTGTAATTTTCGAGAAGAAAGGATGGATGGGCGTGAGCGTGCGGAGGAGGGGTGATACGATAGCATAGAGCTGCTTCAGACGTAGCGGCGCAAACAACGGTATCTTGTCGGAGAGATCATCATTCACCCACAGATTTTCGAGGCATGTGCAAGCAGACAACACAAGCTGGTAGGCGTCGTCCGCGATAAACGGGAGAAATAAATGGCGAACCGCCTGACGGAAGAAAGATGAAGGTTTCAATTTCACCGCGGACGACAGAAAATTTTCGGTGAAGGCGGGAAGCATAGGAATCAGCTGGGCCGTTTGGTTCACCGCGATTGTGCGATATAGAAGCGGTTCAACCCTGAAGATGAGGTAAGTTCATTCACAGGAATGAATGTTCCACACACCAGTCCTTGACGCGCCACGCGACCAACATGAGCTTTGGAATTCCTACCGGTCGCCAGAGAGCGCAGATTTCAAAGATCTGCCGTTCCAGCTCGGGAGGGAAGGCTGGCTGTTCAGAAACTGACTCCATGATTCTGCAATGAGAGCCCGACCTGGCCGCGTCGGATCGAGGTGGTGGTGGCAGCTTGAGAGAGTCACGCCTGGTCACAGACGTGCCGATTCGGCAGGCACAGCCTCTACCTCACCACGAATGATTTGACTCTAAGAAAGAATATTATCCTCTGCCAATTCCCAGACGCTCATAAGTCCGGAGTTGCGTGTGCACGTCCCATAGCAACATATTATTTTTGTTTTTGCGGTTGTATTTTACAGGCTAAGCAACCGAGCCATCGGTGCTGTTCGTCTCGACGGTGGCTCGCAACACAGACGCCGTATGGCCGCGGCTTTGAAGTAGGACCTCTTTCATCCTGCTCATGCAATCGGATGGGAATACGTACCCGATGTGGGACAGAGAATTCAGTATCTGAGGTTAACTTCTGTTTATATATTCAATCTCGCACGAAATGGAAATGATCTGACCAGAATGATGCTGTTGGAGTACCCCGTGGACAACCAGATGCAGACCCCCAGCTAGTTGTTTCCGTTGAAGGCGACGAACAGGGAAAGATTAACCAGAGCAAACACTGCGCAGAGAAACCCGATTTCAAAGGTGACCTATACCAGCGAGCCATTAATTTTAGATGCCCAGGCGGATCGCAACACTTTGATTATCCGAGAGAGTACTACGGCATAGGTGGAACTGTCGAATCCAGGTTGCCTCGCCTAGAACATGCCGCAAACGATGATTGAGTCGGCCAAGGCTCTCCGTGCGAGCCAGACCTGACAATAGTAGCATCTCCCGCAACGGTTATAGACGCATAAACAGCGGGGGCTCTCAAGCGATCGAAATCCAACAACGAAAATTTATTAGCGCGGCATATTTCCACATCGCTCCAGATATCAGCACCCAACTGGACAGCGGTCACTTGCAAAAACGTGAGTACACACGGTTATTGTAAATTTAAGACTGAGTTAATACGATTTCAATCGCGGTGTCAACTGCATCGGTATCAGTCTCGAGCGCTTGGTCAATAAACTGAACACCTCGCCTATAGAACCAAGGATCGGAACGCCCAGCCAACTTCGTCGAGGATTCCGGATTCCCCCAGCCGGCTCCAAAACGGATGGTATCCCACCGGCTGTCCCCAAACGTCTGCAAGATTCCAGCCCAGTATGAACGCGACGAGGATTTTAGAAAAACGTTGGGTATTGAGGAACGCGAGGAAGTAAATATCGGTAGAGCGCCAATTCACGCTGTGGAAGACTGTACATGGACACACGCAAAATGTAAGGGTCTCAAGCTTACCAGTGAGGCACTCGGATCGGTATATTAGGCCGAAGAAAAAGCGTACGCCCTGTCACTCCCGCGATGGGGTATCATTTTGCACCATGGATGATGTGCCACCAAAAAAACACACATGAGTACGGTCAACGCCGTCCAAAACTCCTGTTGTCAGCGACCCGGCGAGCGAGAAGAGCACAACAGCGTATGTTGTAAGTATGGGCGATATATAGTGCAAAAATTGAGCAGATTTTACAGGGTTTTCCAAGACAGGTCGCATTTCAATTTTTTGCACTGGGTCACAACATCAAAATTAAAGCTGACAACTTTCACGCAGCTGACATCTGCTTGCGGGTTACATCTCGATAATCGCTCACATCGTAGCAATTGATCGCCGGTATTGATCACATCAGTTCAACTCCCGACATCTGGCGGCAAACCAATAATCTTGCTCTCGTGAATTTACAGAAGTGCTGAGCCCCTTCGGATGAATCTTTCCGAGTTTCGAGGACAGAATTATGTTATTTTATAACAATACCTCCACAAGCAGGCATGACATGCACAGAAATGGCTCTACCCAGGGCTATGCTTTCGCACCTACCCTCTGCATCATTTAAAGGCAGAGATTCTCCTCTGAGGTCAGTCTCCTTGCTCAAATAACTGTTTTACATTGTTTGGAATGGATTCTAGGTGCTCCAGGTGTCAGATTGTCAGAAAATGGACCAACTTCCCTTTATGGATTTCGGCAGGGGATCAAAATCAATGTTCTGATCATTCCCATCAATCTTGACGAATTTTACCAAGACGAAATCCTGAGAAATGCTACCCTCAGATGTGAACAACAATCAATTGTAGCCAGGGATGTCTCTGTGCAATGATGTCCACTCTGCGAAAGATGGCATTTACCTGATCGTTCAGTGCCAAGTTGTAAGCTGATTTCCTGTTTGCATCGAAAGTTGTAAACTAATAATTTTTGCACGCTATATGTGCCATATGTAAGCACCAGACTTAGTTTCAGAATTGAGGGTTTTTAGACGAGATATAAAGTCCGCGACCACGAACCCGACGACAGTCGTGGATGGAACCCATAGCGACGTCCTACGACAAGGATAAAGGTTCCTGCAAGAATGCATGTAAGAACCAAACCATTCATCGCGATCCCCTTGGCATTCCGGTTGAAATGTCGCGAGTAGTTGTGCCCACAGGTGAGGGCTCACCTCGCCAGCCGGAAATTGCGCTAGCAGGCCTCACCACCGGCTATGCCGCCGGGACCTCAAATTTCACAATCGTTTACTATGCCCCGAGATGAAAGCACGTTAATTATCTGTCCCATCACACTCACGATCCCTGTCTCGCTCATCCTATCAAGATTATTTATTCCTCTAGGTAAATTTCCTATATGGTACGAAATTCACTAAAGATATTACGTATGTGACATTTGCGCTTTGGTCATCCAGGATCCGGTATTGCAGGGCTGAATGTCGAGTTTCGTTATTGTACCATTGCTAAAGTGGCACACATACCCTCTATTTCTCCAGAGCGACGCGTCGCAATGAAACTTTCTGCACAGCTCCAGTAATCTTCCCCCGTATACGCT